CACAATGGTGTAAAATAACAATGTAAAGCGTATCATGAACAGTTCCATGTAGATAAAACTACTGTAGAAATAACAAGCAAAAGTTGAAAGATAAGTCACCATTATCTGTCATAGAAGTCCGGCCATTTCCTGTTCTGTCTTCCATGTTCTTGTCCTTCGAGACTTTGTTGAAGAAGCCGGAAATAGATGGAAGTGACGAACTTTGACTTCAGTAAGCACCTGTTCCAGCTTCTCATACGTCTGTGTGCATGTGTGACAAAGTGTCAGTGTCAGTGGTATTGTGTGAGTGTCTCTCTTGTCCGTTGTCTCATGGTCTTTTATGAGGCAAATTTATGTCATAGTTAGTGATCTTAATACCTTCTATGGAAATTATTACTGCTTAGCAAAGCCATTTCATAAAAGGAAGGGGATGCTATACATATGATGTTTTTGATGGACAGGAACATATGTATGCTGATGTACATAATATTGTAAGCAGATGATGTAACCCTCAGCTATATATTTAAAGAATAATATAGCTTAAGAACATATCAATGTATAATCACTAAACTATATATGTATCAATGTTAGAAACGTATACTAAATACACACAGATACTATTAAAATACACAATGTAATAGTAAATCTATAATGAGTCCTCCTAATACCCTTGACATTACTATCAGATACTTTTAACTAGCTATGCCTAAATATAGTCTTCAGCTAGTTAGCTGTCTCAGCTAACTTACCCATATTTTACTGTCTCAGCTTAACTTATATGTCTTTTAGTCTCAGTTATTTTACTGAAGAATTAAATAATATCATCGGTATAAGGCGACAATTCACACATATTAATATTAATTATGATTAATCATAAAAACCAAATATTTTGCAAGCTTGCCATCAATATAAGTGTCGAATCATAATTTTGATTTCTTAACAGTTCTCATGTCCTCCCTTTAGCTTTGACAGAATTCTCTATCCGTCATGGCTTCCCTACATCATCGGTTGCCATTTCATCATGGAGAGTACCCCTACCCTCAGACGTACGTTGGCCAACAGAGTAGTATCTTGGGTTCTCATGTCCTCACTTTAGCTTTGACAGAATTCTCTCTCTGTCATGGCTACCCTACATCGTCGGTTGCCATTTCATCATGAAGAGTACCCATACCCTCAGACGTACGTTGGCAGACAGTAGTATCTTGGGTTCTCCTGTCCTCCCTTTAGCTTTGACAGAATGTTCAGTAGTAGTCATTTATTTATCATCATTTCACTTAGAAAAATACTAATCCTTCTCCAAAGGCCAAGTTCCAATAAATCACCCTTGAAGTGTTGCTGATGAAGAACAAGTAATTGTGATCAATGGTACCAGAAACAAAACAAGAGTTCACACTGAGGTTTACCAATAATAACTTTATTTTTATTGCATATCTTTATGGAACAAAAGAAGGAAAGACAGTCAGAACTCCAACTATTGTTCCCAGAGAACTTCTCTATATAAAATGGAAGTCCAGTGCAGGAACAATTGTACAGCCTAAGACCCCACCATTGTTTCCAAAGAACTTTCCTAAATAAAATGGAAGTCCAGTGCAAGAACGAAGGACAGCCTGAGACCCCACCATTATTCCCAAAGAACTTCCCTAAATAAAATGGAATTCCAATACAAAAACAAAGGACAGCCTGAGACCCCACCATTGTTCCTAGAAAATTTCTCTAAATAAAATGGAAGTCCAGTGCAGGAACAAAAGTACAGCCTAAGACCCACCATTGTTTCCAAAGAACATTCCTAAATAAAATGGAAGTCCAGTGCAAGAACGAAGGACAGCCTGAGACCATACCATTGTTCCTAGAGAACTTTTCTATATAAAATGGAAATCCAGTGCAGGAACAAAAGTGCAGCCTAAGACCCCACCATTGTTCCCAAAGAACCTTCCTAAAGAAAATGGAAGTCCAGTGCAGAAACGAAGGACAGCCTGAGACCCCACCATTGCTCCCAGAGAACTTCCCTAAATAAAGTGGAAGTACAGTGTGAGAATGAAGGACAGCTTGAGACCATACCATTGTTCCTGGAGAACTTCTCTAAATAACATGTAAGTTCAGTGCAAGAATGAAGGACAGCCTGAGACCCCACCATTGTTCCCAGAGAACTTCCCTAAATAGAATGGAGGTCCACTGCAAGAAAGGAGGACAGCCTAAGACCCCACCATTGTTCCTAGATAACTTTTCTAAATAAAATGGAAGTCCAGTGCAAGAATGAAGGGCAGCCCAAGACCCCATTATTGTTCCTACAGAACTTCAGAGATTAAAATGGAAATCCAGCCAACTCTTATAATTTTTGACAGAATGGACAACATGAGAGCCTCTGTCAGGTTATTGATATCTGTATCCCTGTAGAGGAAACATTTCCTGACTTCTTGTCCCAATGACAGCTAGCACCGGGACTCCATGTGTCTCTCCAGAGGGAACACATACACCTATAAAAAGCAGATCCAACTCTTTCACACTCTACTAAATAAGACATGGTTTTCTTGATGCCTGCGTCCTTGTTGGAGACACAACAGAACAAGGAAAATCTCCAAAATGGAGAAGGGAAAAAAGTTTTTCAGCAAAACTGCAACATGAAGAAGCAAAAAAAGTTATAAATCAAAAAGTGTACTTTTTATACGTAATGAAAATATATATATATATATATATATAAAAAAAAAAAGAGAGATCACACCACAATAAAATGAAAATATCTCATATGGGTTTGCTGATCCTTTCGGATTGCCTCATCTTTATCATACAATTGTTTTATGAAGGTAACGATTCAGCCTATGAATCTCCATCATAAGCTTTTCAGTGTCCTCCAGTGGTGTGTCATCTGTGGTGGATAATTAGTGTGAATTTTCATGTGCCTATCACAGTTCCCTTTATCGGAGAAGCTCCTCCCACATGCCGAACAGGAAAAGGGCTTCTCGCCGGTGTGCACTCTAATGTGTTTATTGAGTTTCGATTTCTCGGTGAAAGACTTGCCACACTCAGAACACATGAAAGGCCGTTCCCCGGTGTGGATTCTCTGGTGCTGAACAAGTTTTGATTTGTTTATGAAGGATTTCTCGCACTCAGAACATGAATAGGGTTTCTCACTGGTGTGGGTTCTCTGGTGTTGGACGTAATGGGACTTCTTTATGAAGGACTTCTCACACTCGGAGCACGAAAAGGGTTTTTCAATGGTGTGGATGGTCTGAGGTACAACAAGGTAACGTTTTTTTTATGAACGATTTTTCACAGTCTTGAAAAGGATGCAAATAATTAGGAGAAGATTCCCCGGGAATAGAATGATCTGGTGATTTTTCTGCACTGTGAAAGCTTGGTTGGATGTTTGGATTATAAGTGTGCGATTTACGTTTGGAATTAAACCGATTTGTTGATTTTGCCATTAGGTTAAGTTTGTGTTGCATATTCTGAGTAACGATGCTGACTCGTGGAGAATATTGTGCCGTGTCATTATCATCTTTGTTATAATCTTCATATAAAATAGGACGTCCCTCTGGAGTATGCCATCCATTGTGTTCTCCTGTTGGAAATATTTTTTTTATTATAAAAAAATAATAATAAAATGTTCATCATTCACATTTTACAGTTAGGAGTCCTGTAAGTGGGTCTAATATGCAACTGTTCACCAGATTTTTAGCATGAAATTAGGTACAGAGATAACAACAATGCCAGGATAGAAGTCAGATAAGATGTACAATACAACCAAAGCCATTGACATTGATATGGTGATAGACATTACACTGAGGAATGGAGATGGACCTTTCATATGGTATACAGTATCTCCTCATTTGTCGGGAACATGACGTCATATTGAGGAATAGAGATGGACCTTTCATATGGTGTACAGTATCTCCTCATTTGTTGGGAACATGACATCATATTGAGGAATGGAGATGGACCTTTCATATGGTGTCCATTATCTCCTGCTCACTTGTTGGGAACATGACGTTATATTGAGGAATGGAGATGGACCTTTCAGATGGTGTCCAATATCTACTCATTTGTTGGGAACATGACGTTATATTGAAGAATGGAGATGGACCTTCCATATGGTATACAGTATCTCCTCCTCATTAGTTGGGAACATGACGTTATATTGAGGAATGGAGATGGACCTTCCATATGGTGCACAGTATCTCCTCCTCATTTGTTGAGAACATGACATTATATTGACGAATGGAGATGGACCTTCCATATGGTGTACAGTATCTCCTCATTTGTTGGGAACATGATGTTATATTGAGGAACGGAGATCGACCTTCCATATGGTATACAGTATCTCCTCCTCATTTGTTGGGAACATTACGTTATATTGAGGAATGGAGATGGACCTTCCATATGGTGCACAGTATCTCCTCATTTGTTGAGAACATGACGTTATATTGAGGAATGGAGATGGACATTCCATATGGTGTACAGTATCTCTTCCTCATTTGTTGGGAACATGACATTATATTGAGGAATGGAGATTAACCTTTTATATGGTGTCCAGTATCTCCATCTCATTTGTAGGGAACATGATGCTATATTGAGGAATGGAGATGGATCTATCATATGGTGTACAGTATCTCCATCTCATTTGTTGGGAACATGACGCTATATTGAGGAATGGAGAGAAAACATTCACATGGTGTACAGTATCTCCACTACATAACAGGTAGTATAGGTACACTGGATACTTTTCTATCATACCATAAGACGATTTTATTCTTTCAAAGGACATTGCTCCCTGTCTAAAAATGTATGTGATGGCGATTTTTCATCCTTTTAGTCCATCTGCATAGTTAAACCTGATGTAAATAAACTGGAACATAAATTAAAAATGGGAAGTGCTGAATTTTTTTAAAATATATACTTACTTTTGCAGACATCTACAGAAGAATCATTTTCGATAACTGTCACCATCATTTCGGCTTCCTTTATGGACAGGTGATTTTCCCTCACATACATCTCTTCTTCCTCTTTGTAATCAATTTTTATAGCCATCACTTCTTCCTCCTAAAATCACAAAATGATTGTGAGCACTATCATCCTGAGATTACATAGAACATCATCTATGCAGTTTGGAGCCACGTTTGAGTTGGATATCCTTAGACCCACCTACCTGATGATGGTGAGGGATGGTGTGATCTTCCTGTGTGGAATTCCGAGAATACAGAGGACGGGGACATCTCTCTGGTGGGTTCCCATTACTGGATCCATCTGTAGGAAACACACACACTGACTGAATCCATTGTTTCTATGTGTTTGTCAGATGATGGGTGATCTAGGTGGACCCTCCGTACTGCTCTCTCCTTTCCAATAAAGTCTCCTCTTACCCGGTGATGTGAGGGGCGGCTGATTGTCCATCATGATGTCTTTGTAGAGATTTTTATGTCCCTCTATATACTCCCACTCCTTCATCACAATATCCTCCTCCTCTTCTTTTATCTCTTCTTTGATAATAACATTAAATTTGCTCCAGTTTTCACTCTGCATTTAATTATAAAATACATTCATAAAATCCATGCTCTTCCATGGAGACATCATGACACCTTATAGGAGCCGGACACACACAACGATACATTCACCATCCAGACACATCCCTTGTCTGTCACTGGAAAATATCCCAGAATTCCCAGCACAGCTCACCTCTTCCATCAGGAGGTCAAGGATCTTCTGGGTGACTTGTAAAATTTTCTGCTCATTGTTTCTTTCGTGAACCAGCAAGGAATGTAGAGGAACCATAATGGGGTTCTGTCCATCTCCCGATGTCTTCTTCACAACTATGTTATCCTGAAGGGAGAGACTAGCAATCAGCACATACATTTCCCAACCAAAGAAGTTACAATTTGGTGCAATTATAGTCCATCTTTTTTATGATCTGATCATTGGTAGCTCTCAGACTGTATCAGACACTATGCTACTAAGACAGGATCAGTCATGGTGCAGGACATCCAACTGCAGCTTCCTGCATTTACAGTCCCTCTTGGTACTGATTTTGCAAGGATCAAGTTTGGATTCCTCTTTACAATGTGGTGGTGTGAGGTCATATGAAAAAGGACTTTTCAAGCATTGAAGATGTCCTGAACTCAGACTAAGCTCAGAGGAACATTGTGCATTAAGAAGAGGCTGAGTCTGAGGCTTAGGAGGATATCAAGGCAGAGTGAAAGCAGAGCTGCAGTGTACAAGGAATGTCCAGTTATGGTTTGGCAAGCTCTCCATTTTGTGGTAGACCCCACCCATCAGAAAAGCAGTACTGATGGTCTTTAAGACTGCCATCTTACCTGTACATGAAGAGAAACATAAGACTGTCACCCCTTATAAAATGTCTATGGGGGGGCTTTAGAACGGTGGTGGTCAAGTAGCAAATTAAAGAGGTCCCCCACTGCACCCTGGTTCCCTCTAGTGTCCAACAAGTGGTGGACCCAGGCTGGCCACACAGAGAGGCGACGGGTCATGTTTTGGTTACCAGGGCTATGTTTGTACCCTGTTCAGTCACTATTGTGCCGTTGGTGATCTTTCATCTGAACCATGTCAGCTGTGCTTCCTTCCTCCTGTAGCCCAAACAGGAACACTGATTTGACCTGAATGGTCCTGATTATGGCTACAGTTTGGACAAAATCCATATCGAGAAAGTCAGATTGTGCATATCAGAGTTAAGATATCTGATCTTTAGGAACACAAAGTCTACAAATCTGACAGATTCAAAAACTATCAGGCACCTCTGCTCTTTTCAATCACTGACCTGCCCTAAGCAGTAGAAATAGAGATAATGGAGATACAGTATGTCTGTGCTCAGGTCCTAAATGGCTTTCAAGTACACATCACATGGGATACTAAAGAGGTTCAAGCTGGCCAACTGCAGCAAAGTGATCCCTCTCTGGCCAACTGCTTCAATGTGATCCGTCTCTGGCCAACTGCTTCAATGTGATCCGTCTCTGGCCAACTGCTTCAATGTGATCCCTCTCTGGCCAACTGCAGAAATGTGATCCCTCTCTGGCCAACTGCAGAAAAGTGATCCCTCTCTGGCCAACTGCAGAAAAGTGATCCCTCTCCGGCCGACTGCAGAAAAGTGATCTCTCTCTGGCCGACTGCAGAAAAGTGATCCGCCTCTGGCCAACTGCAGAAAAGTGATCTCTCTCTGGCCAACTGCAGAAAAGTGATCCGCCTCTGGCCAACTGCAGAAAAGTGATCCGCCTCTGGCCAACTGCAGAAAAGTGATCCGCCTCTGGCCAACTGCAGAAAAGTGATCCGCCTCTGGCCAACTGCAGAAAAGTGATCCGCCTCTGGCCAACTGCAGAAAAGTGATCCGTCTCTGGCCAACTGCAGAAAAGTGATCCCTCTCTGGCCAACTGCGTCAATCTGATCCCTCTCTGGCCAGCTGCATCAATCTGATCCCTCTCTGGCCAGCTGCATCAATCTGATTCCTCATTGGCCAGTACCTACTCTTTCTTGTAAATTGACAAATTCTTACTTGCTAAATAGCATACCTTTAGGTGCAGAAAAGTGATCTCTCTCTGGCCAACTGCAGAAAAGTGATCCGCCTCTGGCCAACTGCAGAAAAGTGATCCCTCTCTGGCCAACTGCTTCAATGTGATCCCTCTCTGGCCAACTGCAGAAAAGCGATCCCACTCTGGCCAACTGCAGAAAAGCGATCCCTCTCTGGCCAACTGCAGAAAAGTGATCCCTCTCAGGTCAACTGCAGAAAAGCGATCCCACTCTGTCCAATTGCAGAAAAGCAATCCCTCTCTGGCCAACTGCAGAAAAGTGATCCCACTCTGTCCAACTGCAGAAAAGTGATCCCTCTCTGGCCAACTGCAGAAAAGTGATCCCACTCTGGTCAACGGCAGAAAAGTGATCCATTTCTGGCCAACTGCAGAAAAGTGATCCCTCTCTGGCCAACTGCGTCAATCTGATCACTCTCTGGCCAGCTGCATCAATCTGATCCCTCATTGGCCAACCGCAGAAAAGTGATCCCTCTCTGGCCAACCGCGTCAATCTGATTCCTATCTGGCCAACCGCGTCAATCTGATCCCTCTCTGGCCAGCTGCATCAATCTGATCCCTCATTGGCCAGTACCTACTCTTTCTTGTAAATTGCCAAATTCTTACTTGCTAAATAGCATACCTTTAGGTGTGTGGAGGTGAGCTACAGACCCAAACCCAGCGATGCATGTGGAAATATTTTCACCACCCATTTTTTTTCTAATTAAAGTGGTCTTTTGTTCAAGTTGTACCTACCTATATAATAAAGGGTCACCTACAGAATGTCTCCTGAACTTGCACTGTTTAGGAGATATTCACACTACACAATGGCTGGAGAGCTCTGTGTACAGACAAATCTGTCATAATGTACTGGGCAAGCATCAGTGGGCTAAGTGCCAGTACTAGTGGCAACACCTGCCTGGAGTTTGATGTTCTCCTGTGCATGATGTTTCCTCCGGGTAAAACACAAAGTTTTAGAGAGTGGTTTATTACCGCTTTAAATCTAATTGGAGCAACGTGCGACTCTAGCAAGCGCTGTGAAATTTTTTGGGTGAAAACATTTATAAACAGGCCCCTAAGTAAAAAAAAAATAATCATATTTTATCTGCCTTTTTGCCAATCTCCTACCAATGTGCGTATTTAAGTAGAAAAACCTCAAACTTTATTCTCCAAAGAAAAAAAAAAAAAATTTTTAAATAAATGAAAAAAAAACCTATGCAAATTTTAATTAATTTTGTCAGCAAATAATTGTTTTAAATGCCCAGATTTCAGAAAATAGGTAAGGAAACGCAATGATTTAACAGCTTGTCGCTGTGAAATTTTTGGGTGAAAAACATTTATAAACAAAAAAAAAAAAAAAATTGTTTGGAAACAAAAAAAAAATTTGCATTTCTCCAGCTGTCAGTAACAGAAATTCTGTAAAACTTTGTCTCATAATTCATTATCGGGTTAATAATAAATATAGATTTCATCCAGTTCCGAGCACAAAATAAAATGTTGACCATAAATTGTCATTTAAATTTTACGGGAAAAAAAAACCATGAAAAAAAAAAAAATCACTTCCCGGTGATTTGTTGCTGGAATAAAACTGGAGCAAAGTTATTTTTTGGTCAATCAATAAAATGAAACTTGTGGCGCTCCCAGAATCCTCCTCACCTCCCCGGTCAGCAGGTAGATGATCTCCAGGGTGAGCCGTAATATCCTCTCCGTCAGGTTGGTGCAGTTTGCCTCCATTGCTCTCAACTCTCTTCCATTCACTTCCAGCAACAATAGTGCCCATCCCCCAATGCTGAGCATCATGGGTAAAAGGCAGGCTCTTCCGTGATTGGTTCTCCTTGGCCATTTTGTTGTAGCCCAGTAGACCTGGAAGAACATATGTTCATCATTGATCAATGCTCAACCCTGAGGACATCTATTGATGTCCACCAAAAATCACCACCAGCTGAGAGTAGAATGATTTTCTGAGCGGATGTTAAACTGGTGGCTCTCCAGCTGTTGTCAAACTACAAGTCCCATGAGGCATTGCAAGATTGACAGTTACAAGCATGACTCCCAAAGGCAGAGGCATGATGGGACTTGTAGTTTCGCAACAGCTGGAGGGCCACCAGTTTGACACCCGAGTTGCATACCGACATGTCTTCATATATGAGCTACAATAATATAGCTGCTTATCCTCACTGATTACGTACAGAAATGAGAAGGGGTATCTAATGTTGGGGTTCAATGACATGACCTCCAGCTTCCGAAGAGTTTTGCATGTGTGCCACAAAGCAAATTACCGTATAAGACGCACCTAGATTTTAGAGGAGGAAAACAAGAAAAAAATATTCTGAACCAATGGACTGCAGACACAGTACAGGAGATGACCAGAGACTGCGGACACGGTACAGGAGATGACCCAGGGACTGCGGACACTGTACAGGAGATGACCAGGGACTGCGGACACGGTACAGGAGATGACCGGAGACTGCGGACACGGTACAGGAGATGACCGGAGACTGCGGACACGGTACAGGAGATGACCGGAGACTGCGGACACGGTACAGGAGATGACCGGAGACTGCGGACACGGTACAGGAGATGACCGGAGACTGCGGACACGGTACAGGAGATGACCGGAGACTGCGGACACGGTACAGGAGATGACCAGAGACTGCAGACACGGTACAGGAGATGACCAGAGACTGCAGACAGTACAGGAGATGACCAGAGACTGCAGACAGTACAGGAGATGACC